TCACGAGTTAATTTTGTTTATTGTGCACTTGGTGTTTAGCAGTCTCACCATGTGTGGTGCCACAGCATTCTCCGAACCCTTTGTAAGTGGTAGAGACTAGCATCGGCCACATTTCCCACATGAGGAAAGTGAAGCTCAGAGAGGGAAAGTGTCTCATGCAAGGGCACACAGCAAGTGAATGGTAGAGTCAGATGTTTGGCCAGGAAGGGCTGAAAATCTCAGAGCACCACTACAACCCACCCATCCGATAGCTTCATCACACAGCTAGGAAGTTCTGTTTGCTGTGTGATGCCAGCATCTGGCGTGTAGTAGACACTCATTAAATGTTTGCTGGATGAACAAAATGAATCAGAGAGACCATCAGACAAACATTTAATGAGTGTCTACTACACTCCAGGTGCTATACCCTCCTCCTCAAAATGACTCTTAATACTTCACTGCTGACACCTAAATGTGTAAGGTTTTCCCACACACAAAGCAATTCTCACACACCAACTGGGTGTCCTGAATTCAACTCAGTTCTGACACAAGGAACCCCGAGATATCATCAGATCCCACAAGCTAAGGACCCAGTCCTGCAGCACTGCCCCCACTTCAGATGCCAGTTGCAAGTCCAGGTCATTACCTGTGCATCTGACTGACTGGCTGTAAATTGGAGGCTCCCCTGATAATTTGCCAGAATGACTTACAGAACTCAGGAAAACAGTTTACTTACTAGATTATCCATTTATTATGAAAGAATACAACTCAGCAACAATCCGATGGAAGAGCTGCACAGAGCAAGGCATGGGGAAGGAGGTGGAGCTTCCATGCCCTCTCTAGGCGTCCCACCCTTCCAGGACCTCCATGCATTCATCAACCTGGATGCTCTCCAAACTCCATACTGTAGGGATTTTTGTGGAAGTTTCATTACATTGGCACAATTGATTAAATTATTGGCTATTGGATAACAAAAGACACCCATTTCATCTTTACAGCTCATATCACTTAGGAAATTCCAAGGTTTGTAGGAGTTCTGTGCCAGGAACAGAGAAAAAGACCACATATATCTAAATCTATATCTGTATCTGTATCCATATCTATTATAAATTACAATATCACACCACTCCAACAAGCTCTTCCAACAGTTTTCCTCTCTGCATCTCACCCCACTGTCCTCTTAGTATCCTTCCCCATGATCCCAAAGCCTTAGTGTGAACCTGTAACTCCCATCTCACAACCAATATGTTGATTGACTAAGTCCCTGGTCCTTAATTGCTCTTTGTCCTTTCAAATTCACCTGGCAAGATCCGACACAAAATGCAACTGTTACACCCATAAGAATTAAAAAAAAAAAAGCAAATGTTGTAGAGGATGCGGTGAAGTTGGATCCCTTGCATGCTGTTGGTGAGAATGTAAAATGGTACAGCCACCATGGAAAACAGTATGAATAGTATGTAGGTTCTTCAGAAAACAAAAAATAGAATTAACATATGATTCAGCAATCCCACTTCCAGGTACATATCCAAAAGAATTGAAAGCAGAGTCTCAAAGAGATATTTTTACACTCATGTTCATAGCAGCGTTATTTACAATAGCCAAGAGGTAGAAGTAACCCAAATGTTCACTGATGGATGGGTGGATAAAGAAAATGTGGTCCCTCCATAAAATGGAATATTACTCAGCCTTTAAAATGAAGGAAATTCTGACATGTGCTACAGCATGGATGAATCTTGAAAACATTATGTTAAGTAAAATAAATCAGACACAAAACAACATATATGGGGGGGGCATGGTATAGCTCATGGTAGAGCACATGCTTAGTGTGCTAGAGGTACCAGATTCAATCCCCGTTACTTCCATTAAAAAAAAAGAGAAAAGAACAAGTATTGTATGATTCCACTTACATGAGGTACCTATAATAGTCAAATTCCTAGAGACAGAAAGTAGATGAAAGGTTACCAGGGACTGGGGTAGGGGGGCATGGGAAGCTTTTGCTTAATGGGGAGTTTTTGTTTGGGGTGAGGGAAAAGTTTTGGAAATTGTGGTGATGGCTGCACAACATTTTGAATGTACTCAATGCCACTGAAATGTGCACTTACAGTGGTTAAAATGGAAAATCCTATGTTATATATATTTTACCACAATAAGCACACACACAAACACAAAGTAATGGGATGTTATCTCCATGATTAGGCTATAAAAAAAGAAACCAGTGACTTCCACCTTGCTAGCAGACTTCTGTCTCCTGGGCTTACATGCTTTAATGAAGCAATCCACTATGCTGAAGAAACCCACGGGGCAAGGAACTGAGGGCCACCTCTAGCTAACAGCCTTCTAGGAACTGAGTCCTGCCAAGAACCACAGGAGCTTGGAAATGGATCCTTCCCCAGTCACATCATCAGATGAGACCACAGCCCTGCCCAACACCTTGAATTCAGTGAGAAAGGCTCTGAGGCAGAGCACCCAGCAAAGCCACACCCGGATATCTGACCCACAGACACTGTGAGATGATAAATATTGTTTTTTCAGCCACTAAGTTTTGGGTAGTTTGTTACATAGCAATAGCTAAATAATATATTACTACTACTACTACTATTATTATTAGCTTAAGTTTTATACACTGAATAAGGATGTGGACTTTAATAGACACACCCTTGAAGGGTGGAGTCCCTGCCTCCTGGTTAGATGCTTTCCTCATTCTGAACCTCAGTTTCTTCATCTATAAAATGGTTTTAATATGCACATAATGAGGATAAAATGCAGGTAAAGTGCTTAGCGGAGGCCCTCCACATGAGAGTGGTCAGGTGCAGGGGCTCCTGTGATGAGGACGATGATTTAGAGGACAGGGACTGTCTCATCTCTGCCTTGTCTGTTGTCACCCCCTCTGAACACAGGGTCTGAGGCTGGTGGGCTCTCAGCAACAGTTTCTTTGTTAATGCAAGATCTGTGCGTCTCTGTTCTGTCTGTACACCCTGTCTGCGGGTGGGGGAGTCTCTGCTAAGGGTCCCACGATTGCTCCCTGGCTCCATCCGTGACCCTGAATCTGCTGTGTCCGCCTTCGCGGATGACACGTCTATGGCGGGGGACCAAGGGCAACTGGGCTGCGGGGGCTGGGCCTGCGGAGAGCTGGGGGAAGGAGGCAGCTTGACTCGCTCTCTGGACCCCCCTCCTCGCCTCCGGCGAGCCTTGAGACCCTCACGCAGCCACTTCTCCCCGGCACTTGGCAGAGAGGACGCGCGGCAGGCGTTGCCTTGGCAATGCTGGGATGCCCAGCAACAAGTCGGCGGCATGTGTCACGTGCCCAGCGCGGACCAACCCGAGTGCCCGCCTGGAAGCAGGTCAGTCTGGGCCAAAGTCCGCCTCCCCCACTCCTCCCTCCCGGGCGAGCTGCTCGGAGCTAATTACCGTAATTGCGGTGGGAGAGCACCCGAATGTGCGGGGTTGGGAGGGGAGGGGGGCTAGGGCTGGGGGCTGGGCAGGCCCCGAGGGGCTGAGTGGGCAAGGCAAGAAAGCAGACCCCTCTTCCTCCAGCAGCCTCGCCTCTGCCTCCATAACCGCAATCAAAGCGCCCATTAAACACCTACTGTGTACACCTACTGTGGGGGAGGAGCGCTTGCGGTGGGGGTGGGGAACCCTAGCCTCCTGCTTGGGTATTTCTGGGTTTAGGAGCGCAAGTCAGATCAACGGATTTGATTCCTAAGGTTCTGGGTCTCAAAGGTTCTGTTCAATCGCTCTTGGGTGTATTGAATCACAGGCACCCCCTCACCCCCTTTCCGCTGAGCGTCTGTTTCGTCCTGAACGAAAATACGGAAAATACGCCCTTGAAGGGAGCGAACAAAGACTCAGCTCTGGGCAGAAGAGTTCGAATTCTGTCTCTGCCATTTACTGCTGTGTGACGCTGGTTGAGTCTGTCAAACTCTCTGAGCCTCTGATTCCTCATCAGTTAAAAAACGAATAGGGAGATCCCAGTATCTATCCGTGGGAGTCGTATTTACTGACTGAATGTATGTGAGGTACGCAGTAGGCATTCAATAAAAAGAAGTTAACCATCACCACGGTCCCAGCTCTCAGGGGCTGTGAGATCTCCTGAGTGTCACTTAATGGCTCTGAACCCAGTTTCCTCCATGGGGACTGGATAAGGGCCCTCATGCCACGCTGGCGGCCACTGGGGTTTGTTTCTTCAAATAATTTTTTTCTAAGAGCCCAAATCTCAGATTTCACGTGATACGCCCATGCAGGCGTTTGAGTTTTCCATTCCTGTACTGGCTGATCTCTTAAATCCCTTCCAGTTCTTTGCTTCGTTCATTCTTTCATCCACAAACATTAACTGAGCACCTTCTGTGTACCGGGGCTTGCGGTGGCTCTGAATCCCCAGCCTCATCACACAGAGCACAGACCCAAGGACCACCTGAATCCCTGGCCGCAGGAAGGGCCCAGGATCTCAGTGGTCAGGGGGGTTGTCTGGCTTGCTTTCAGTTTCTTCAGGGCTTGTTCCGACCTCCAGGCCATCGCACCTGCTGTTCCCTCTGCCTGGAAGGCCTTTTCTGGGGACTGGCTCTTTCCTACCTTTCTGTCTCTGCACAAATGTCATAGCCGCAGAGGGGCCTCCCTGATACATGCACATCTTTTCTCTGCCTCAGCTGCAGATGTGCTCCCCTCCAGCACTGTGGCTGTTGGGAGTTCTGTTCCTGTCCACCCCCACCCCCCACCACTAGGACGAGCAGTCAGAGGAAGGACAGTTGGGAGGGAGCGTTGTACTGGAAATTTTGTCAGTATTGCTTCTGAAACACGTCTGAAAGCTGAGAGAGGAGAACACGGCATTCATTCAGGGTCCTTTCGGGACTCAGGGCTGGAGAGGAAACCAGGTCTATAAGTCTGGGCTTTCCTCCTGGACTCTGAAGCCCAAGAGCCATCCTTCAGAGACTGGGGGCTAGTCCCACTCGGGACACAGACACCAACCAGAGAATGTGTCTACACGTGGGGACTCTGGATTCAAATGGCAGCTCTGTCCCCTTCTCTGTTATGTGTGTTTGGGCAGGTGTCTCGATCTCTCTGAAAAGCTAATAGCACCGAGCTTGGGATGTTATTCTGAGGATGAGGTGAGGTAGGGATTCCCCACCTAGCAGATGCTCAATAAATAGAAAATTGGTTTTGAAAACAGGCAGGTACTGAGAGAAGTGCCTTTCAAGGGAGTGGCAGGATGCAATGGGGGAGACACCCAGCCCCAGCCAGCCACCCTCTCTTGGTGTGACTATAAAGCTAGCAATCTGACCTCTCTGGGCTTCCCTTCTCCCCTCACCTTTTAAACAGGTACAAAACTTCAAGTTCTGGCCCACTGGAGGGCTAAGGTATAAGATCAGAGCAGACAATAACGTGAGAAGGGTTCTGGAAGGCCCAAACCTGGCACCCACAGCATCACTTACAAATATCTACTGGGGCCCAAGTTTTGCGAGACCTTGCGCTTGGTGCTAGGGCTGCAAGGAGCTATGGGAGAGCCAATATAGGAGTGGGACTTCTAGTCCTGGCTGGGCCCCGGACATACTGCGTGGGCTGGAGAAAGGTGCTTTCTCTCTCTGGGCCTCATCAAAATGAGTGATGGGGGGGTCTCTAGAATAGGAAGACCTACTTTCAGATTCCTCCTCTGCTCCTTTGGGCAACTTTAGTTTTTTTCTTATTTTTTTTTTAATTTTGGGGGGGAAGGTAATTAGGTTTATTTACTTATTTTTAGTGGAAGCACTGCGATTGAAGCTAGGACTTCGTGCGTGCTAAGCATGCGCTCTACCACTTAAGCTATACTCTCCCATAATTTTTTTATTCTTTAAAACAAAAAGCTGGTGTCACATCACAGCAGGGTGCACTTGGGGGAACCTCCTTGCTTCTCTGAGCTCCAGTTTCCACATCTGAACAATGGGATTCAGTAACTATGCTGCCGCGTGGCTATGAGGAGTAAATGACATCATTCGTTCATTCATTCACTCAAGAGCTATCAGTTCCAGGCACTGGGAAATACAGTGGGGATTAAAACGGGCAAAACCCTTGCCTTTATAAAGCTCTAAGCATATGGTTAATGACAGGTAAATAAGCATTAGTATCATCATAATCATCACACATACAGTGCTTCATTATGCACTTATTATACATGATGTGTACAGTACTTGGCATAAAATAGATGCTCAGGAAACACTAGGTCCTATTATTGCAATAGTTCCAGGACACTGGAAGATGCTCCCCTCTCTCACAGGGTCTGAAGTGTTAAACTGCCTGGCCTTTGGGATGATTCTCACTCAGGAGGGGAGGGGGACTGAGACCTTCATTAGGGATTCCCTGGTGGCCTTAGGTGGGGAGGGCAACCTGTGTGTGGTCCTGTTTGTGTGCTTTGCCCCTTCTGGGTAAATGCCTCCATTAATCTCCCCCTGCCTGGGCTGGAGGGTCAGGTTTCGGGGCCCCAGGCAGATGTTGTCCAGAGTAGCCCTGTTTCCTTAATCCTCAGGGCTCCAGAAATTGTCCTTAGAAGAGAGAACAACAGGCCTGCTGAGGCCACCATCTGTGCAGTCCCGATTTGTAAATGCTCATGAGGGTGGCAGGAAGGGCTCTATAGTAACGGCTGAGGAAGGGGCTGTGTGTGTGAGCGCATGTTTGTGTGTGTGTGTGTGTGTGTGTGTGTGTGTGTAAGGCAGGGGACAGAGAGGAAGAATCACCCCAGACCTTTAACCCTTATTTCTAAACCTTCATCTTTGCCATGATGAGCTATTAATTAACACTCACTACTGGCTTATTATCCCCAGAGATAATTAGCTACTGTTCCTAACTCGAGTCTCATGGGGAACATTTTCTAAAGAGATTCATTCACTTCTGCCCACCTGCACCTGCCTGGGATACAGGCAAATGTTGCAGATCCTGGGGACCCAGGGGGAGAAGACTGAACAAAGGGGACTCTCCATGAAGCTGAATTCCCAGCAAGATGACAAGGGCAGAGCTCGAATTAGCAAGGGCACAGTAAGTGATTTTTAAATGCCAGCTATGATGATTCTGGAAGGCAGAATGGAGCCTCCTAAATGGAGTGTTTGCAAGGAAAAGTCATCCCATCTGTTTAAATGGACCAGTCAGATCCAAAGGCAGGTAGAAAGGGGTAAGAGGAAGAAAGACTCTGCAGCCAGTGGTCCTGACTCCCAATGTGCCAAGTCCAGATCCTTCCCTGGCCTTTAAACATACTGTTCCCCCTGCCAAGAATGCATTTCTTATAGCTTCACTCAGTTCACTCCTCCTTAGCCTTAGGTCTCAGTTTAGATAGTGGCACCTCCTCCAGGAAGCTCTCCTTGACTTACCCCTCCTTTCTCAACCTGGATGGGGACAGATGACCTCCCTAGGTTCCCACAGTGCCCCAAGTCTCCTCCATCACAGCTCTGTTCACTCAGAGCTGTCACAGTTTGGGACTGTCTGTCTCTCCTAATAGACATTTTGTCAAGGACTATGTCGTGTTCTTCTACAAGTACTATTAAGTGAAAAAAAGAGTACTTTACAAAGTGTGTGTAGAACGCTTCCTTATGTATTAAAAAGGAAGAGAAGACACTACAAACTTATTGGGTGGCTCAAAAAGAAATTGACAATACTGACAACACCGAGTGCTGACAAAGATGCCAGGCAATTGGAACTTCCATCCATTGCTCGAAGAAATGCAGCATGGTGCGGCCACTCTGAGAAAAAGTTTGGCAGTTCCTTGGAAAGTCAAACGTACACTTACATGTGACCCAGTCATCCCACTCCTAGGTATTTGCCCTAGAGAAATGAAAACGTGTTTTCCATGCAAACACCCGTACGTAAATATTTATAGCAGCTTTACTCATAACCTCCAAAACCTAGAGATGTCCCTGAACCCGCCTCACTATGGGAGGTTATCTTGTTCCATTATTTGTTTACTTGTTTATTCTCTTCTGCACTAAATGGAGGGCAAAAACCATATCAGCTCGGTTCCCTGTTGCACTCCCAGTGCCTGACACATAGCAGATATTCAAAAAAATTCTGTGTGTGTGTATGTAGTAAATGAATACATGAAGTAGTCTTAGGGGTGCACAGATCTGGCCATGACTTTCTAGAATGTTGGAGGAGGAGGGGACTTAAGAAATCCTCTAAACAAACTCTTGTTGTAAGTAAGGGGGAGTGCAGACCCTGTGTGTAGTGCACACCCTTGTAGAAGTCAGTGAGGGAGGCAGATCTCAGAGCTGAAAGGAGAATTCTGGGGTCTGAGCCATCTTGCTATTACGAAGTCCACCGCTCTGCAAAAGGGATGGAAAACAGGACAGTGAAATGCATTGTGCGATCCTGAATTGGATCCGGCTTGGGAAGAAATGCCATAAAGGACCGTACTGGGATGACTGGTGAAACTGGAATGTGGACTGTGGATTAGACAGCGGTGTTGTAACAACTTTAACTTCTTGGTTGCTATCATTGCATAATGGTTACATAGCAGACTTGATCTTGGGGAAAGCATGCTGAAGTATTTAGGAAAGAAGGGACAGTTGTGCTTGCAGTTTATATGATGAGACAGAGATAAAGATTTATGGAGAGAGAGAGAGAGCACAAATGTGGCCAAATGTTAATGACAGGTGGGTGAATCTAGGTAAAGATGATACGGGAGTTCATTGCACTATCCTTGCAACTTCTCTGTGGGTTTGAATTTCTTTAAAAAAAAAAAAAGAAAATATTTTTTAAAAAAGAGAAGAACACATAAAACGAGGCAGCCACCCCCAGGCTGCATTGCTGTTTCTTCCTCTTCCTTTTGGAGCTGGCTCCCTGCTCCTCCTTTAAAGCTGTGAAGCCAGAACTGGTCTCCCACGTGGGAGGCAAAAGGGAAGAATTAAGCCAGAATGTTCTAGATGAGCTCACACAAGTCACGCAGCTGACAGTGAATTTGTTGTGTACCTACTATGTGTCAGAATTCCATATAGTTTCTGCACCCATCCTATGGGCTTGACTGAAATTTTCCCCAGTTATGGATGGAGTTAACCCTTGGTTTGGGCACTTTGTTGACAAATGCTAGGTGTCTTATCTGCTTCTCCTGAATCCATGGGTGATCTGCAGACAGCTCACTTTATGAGCTCAAATTCCACAAAATGAGCAGCTCCTTCAAGGGATGTTCATACAAGGGAAATAGCAAGCCAGGATACAAATCCCTCTACTGTCACACATACTACATTTGAGTATAGTTACATCTTCATGTCTTCACTATCCCTAAAGGCAAGGTTGATTGCTGAATTCATGTATGTGCCCCCGGTGCCTAATACAATGAAAGTTTGTTGAATAAATAAATGAATGGAATGTCTCTGAAAATAATAGCTACATCATTGGAAAACTTATCATGTTCGACATTATTTCTAGAGCCATGTCAAGATGCACTGGAACCTGAGGCAAAAGGGAAAAATCAGTAATGCTGATCCTGTCTTCCCTTAAATTTTGATATTTTGTTCATTGTAGTTTTTTGCGTTAATTTTGACTTCATAAAACATTGTATTGAAATATTATTGATCTTGATTACTGAGGGGGGGTTTTGTGGCCCCTTAAAATTTGCATCTGAAGCTGATGCCTCTCTCACCCTAGTTCTATTTATTTCCAACATGCAATCTACACCAAATCACTAATTCCTCATCATAATGTTCTGAGAAGGTACTAGCATCATTGCCAGTTGAGGAAACTGAAGCACAAAGAGAGCTGATTATACCCAAAGACCCACAGCAAGGAGGAGAAAAATTGAATT